CCAGAGAGGTTGGGTGAAAAGCGCGGGGTGTAGGACGAGCCTCGCTGTCGCTCCTTTGTCTCCCCCGCTGGTGCCCAGTGCTGCCTCTACCAGCCGCCTTTGGCTGGCGGTCTGCAGCAGGGCCTCTCCCAAGGCTGCGTCCAGGCCCTTCTCCTTCTGTCCTCTCCTCGCCTGCCGCCCACTCTGCTTTCCTGCTGCGCTCACTGCACTGCTTTGGGTGCTGCTGATGGCACTGCCCCTCAGGGTTAGCCAAGCTCTCGTTCCATCCATCCCACAGGCCCACGCGGGGAGCAGATAGTCAAAGAATGACAGTGACTGCTTTTGGGAAGGTGACTTCCTTGCTAGCCCTGTGAACTAGGTTTAGGTTTCTAAGAACTGTAGCTCTTTTACCAGATTTAAACTTGGAATGAATAATTGCTCAACTGAATCTTTTGCAATAATTTAATGACTGAAAATAATCACGATATTATGAAATTTTTTAATACAGAACTTTTTTTTTTAACCATGGCCAGTGGGATTAGCATGTCTCAAATCTTGTTTGTACCCTATTCACTGCATTATGGAAACTATCCTAACTTGAAATACTGTGGGTTATATAACTTCTCAAATGCCAACCTCAACTATTGTGTATGTTGGTATGACAAAACTGTGTTGAGGCCTTTCCGGAAAGATGGAAACGGGAAAAGTGGTGTGAGGAGACACTGAGTTCAGACTGGTTTTCTCTCATTCTAAGTCTCTCTCTCTCCCGTTGCCAGCAAATAAAAGTAATTGTTCTATTGAATCACTCTAAGGGAGAAAGCACTTGCCTGTTTTACATTTTCATGGGACCAGGTGTTGTCCTGCTGGGGATGAGTCCTGCTGGTGGTGCCAGGGAGCCGTGCTTGGGGTCTGTACAGTGAGCCGGGTCGCTTTTTGGGTCGGGTCTTCACCTGAGTGTGGACTAAGGTGGACCAGCGGGAAAGTCACATTTCTGCGCACGAGTCTCTGTGTCTCCTGTCTTCATTCTCCCCTTCTTGTTCATAGTTACTCTGTGGGCGAGGGATCTGTAATTATTTTTCTAGTCTTTTACTAACTGTTCTCTATAATATCACTAATAATTTTGGCATGGGTTTTCTTGGGAGGAGCATTTAGACTTGAATATCAACCGTTGGGTACAAAGCCTTTAAACCTGCTGTTCATTTATAGCCAAAAGGTAGTACCTTTTTGTCGGGTACATATGATTGGATCCGAGTTGCATTTAAGAAAAAATGTTATAGCCAATGCTAGGTTTCACATTTTTTATAGTAAATGTCATAGATTGACTCCTACCATCTAATTCAAATTAGTAGGAAACTATTATCTTAAAGCTTTATATATGTGATTGATTTATCTAAATACACTCCTAGATTTTGAAAGTTATGGTCATAATTGAAGTTAGTTATTCATTCTTCTTTATGTGTAGTGATATAATCTTATTTACCTCTGTGAGCTAAATTGGGCATGTCCTTTTCAAATTTTGAAAGTTCTCTAAAGTTAAGAGGTTGATATGCAAGTTTCCAAGTGTATTACAAATAGATTTCTGCCATTTTTGATGTTTGCTGCTTTTTTTATTGTTTGGAAAGAAAAGTAAAGTGTTCCTTAGTTGTTTGGTTAATAATATTGACATTTGCTGTCTAAAATACCTACCAGTTATGGTTAAATAAAATTAACCATTAAAATCTGGTATTTTGAGTTCTCCTTTCTGTTAATCATTTTCCTCAAGTGACAGAAGCAAATACCTGCTGATGTTTCTGTGACACTTTAGTTGACTCTAGTTGTTACATACAACAAAAGGTTATAAGTCAGGCAGCCCACGCTTTCACCAAAGGTGTTGATTCACTTCCCCCTCTGCGTCTCAACAGGTGGAGAGGTCGTCAAAATAGCACAGCTGGCGTCCATCGCGGGGCCGCAGAGCCGCGTGGCACAGCCAGAGACACCGGTAACACTACAATTCCAAGGCAGCAAGTTCACGCTATCGCACAGCCAGCTCCGGCAACTCACAGCGGGCCAGCCGCTGCAGCTGCAGGGTAAGGACGAGAGCACACTACCTCTGGCTCTGACACAGCAGGTGCCATGCCATTAGTGCTTGCCTGTGGCCCTGTCCCGTGCACTTGGCTTCCTTAAGCTTCAGGCTCTCTACCTGTGAGTGAGCAGGTGGGCCTCCTCACAGGGAGGGGTCTTAGAAGACCAGCGAGGTTGTGCTTCTAAGTCAACTGGTACCTGCTGCCTGATCTGTGCTAAGTAAACAGCAGTTCTTTCTATTAACAGTATCTCCTCTTTGGAAATAGTTTTTTATTTGTAAATCAACACAGAGCTATTTGCTGCTTTCTCATTTAAGTGACACAAATTGTTCTAAAATGTCACAGGTTTAGTGTTTTCTTTTGCATACAGATATCTTAATTTTAGCTCTCACACCCAAACCTCCCAGGCCTTTGACTAAGAGCAGTGTGCTCATCTAGTAATGACTTCTTTTTTTTTGGTGTTGTTGTTGTTTGTTTTGAGTTGGAGTCTCACTCTGTTGTCCAGACTGGAGTGCAGTGGCCGCTCCTGGCCACCACAGACTTGACCTGCTGGACTCCGGCGATCCTTCCCCTCAGCCCTCTAAGTAACTGGAACTACAGGCGCGCACTACCACACCCGGCTAATTTTTATTTTGTTTTGTTTTGTTTTATTGTAGAGATGAGGTCTCACCAAGTTGCCCAGTCTCGAACCCGCAAGCTCAGGCAATCCACTCACCTCTGCCTCCCAAGGCACGGGATTACAGGCTAAGCCACCGAGCCCGGCTAGTAATGACTTCTTAAAGAAAAAGAGGGAATGGAATTTGAGTGGCCCCCTATCTTAGTGATAGTCGTTTGCCTCTCAGACTTTAAGTTAGGATTCAAAAGCAGTGTCCACAGTAACCTCAGTCAGCTCCTTCCCCACTCAGTTTCTCCATGAGTTACTGCCCAGGCCCCTTGTCAGGGTGGAAGGTCTGCTGTCACCAGGGCTCTGAAAGTGCTCCCTGGCACTCCTGGGAGAGGTCACACATCAGCAGAGCGAGACTTGCAGCTGAGAAGCCATTTAACTTGGTTTAATTCTGTATTTCTCCAGTTTTCTGGTCCCTGGTGGCAGGGCCATGCGTTGGTATCTCTGTCAACCTCTGGCTTTCATAGAGCATGACTTGGGAAGCTTTCCTCCAGAGTAAAAGAAGTTGGAAAATATAGTCACACGTGAGATCAACAGTGACAAGCTCCTTAAAAGTGACAGTGAAGCCACAGGCACCTGGGCTAAAAGTAGTTCTTCTGGGTCTTTCTTCATCCTGCTTAACCGATTGCAGAGTCAGCTCCCGTGATGGGCGAGGAGCCTGGACAGCACAATTGGTTCTTAGCAGATGCACATTGCCATGCCCTCTGAGAGGGACTGAGGGCTGGATAAGCCTTGTCTTGACATTGAGCACAGCAGATTCTGTTCCTTCAGCAGCTCATTCATTGTGGATGATGTGTTTTCATTTTTCTCAAAGTAGCTGAATGTTGCATTGCTTTGCCTGCATAGACTTGATGCTGGGTTTTCAGTTTATTGACTGGTGTATTTCTGTACTATTGGGAGATGACTAGTGTGTGATTGTAGTGCTACGTGCCTGTCACTGATATATTTGGTGGACCTGTGATTGCAGGCAGTGTTCTTCAGATCGTGTCCGCCCCTGGGCAACCTTACCTGCGAGCCCCCGGCCCCGTGGTGATGCAGACCGTGTCTCAGGCGGGTGCTGTGCATGGCACTTTGGGAAGCAAGCCCCCAGCTGGCAGCCCCAGCCCTGCACCCTTGACCCCACAAGGTAGGATGCTCTGAATGGAGGGAGACTTGGCTTGGAAGCTTCTTTCTTTCTTTTCCTTCTAAGGTAATTGGAAGGCATTTGTGTGTCCTTGACCGTGTCCCTCAGAACACCAAAGTCTAGTTCATGTCCTTCTCTGATTTCCATGTGTCATGGTATCAGCCTGATTTGTTTGCTTTTTCTTGTGCTTTCAAAGGTATTGGTTGGATATAACCAGCCTCTACTGTCCATGGATTTTTGTTTTGATTTTGTCCTAATAAGGTACTTCGAATCACAAGAAGTTTTGCTTGTCACTGTGTCATACATAGCCTGGTGAGCATGCTCAGTCTCCCCAAGAACCAGGAGTGTGGCCTGCTCGCACAGTTCTGGGCCCTTCCCTGGCCTGAGCTGCTTGTCTCTTGGCCTCTCTGCCACCTGGCTCACTTGTGAGATTGCACCCTTAACCAGCCTTGGCCCCATTCTCCCCGAACGTGCTGTGGCCTGGTGTGGTGTGTCTGTGGGTACACAAAGGCCTGTGGGGGCGGCAGGGACCCTGGCATGTGCAGTGCACCTCCCCTCAGGGCCTGGAGCCCTTGTCCCAGTGACTGAGCAATTTTTGTTCAGCTTCGTCCACTCCTGTACCCTCGGCGGGGATGCTGCTAGGCCTCTGCCAACCCAACCGGGCTCTGCCAGGTGTGCCCCGTGGCTGTGAGGCTGGAGCTGAGGGACAGTTCCATCAGTGGCCCCCGGTGGCAATCCTGCACTCCAGTGTGGCGGCCCCAGAGCCAGCTGCCTTCCATGGATCCCCTCCTCCGTGCTCAGAGGCACCAGTGCCTGCCACTGGCTTGGGCCCTGAGAGTGCTGAGCCCAGCTGCCTGCCTTCCCCCATTGCTGGATTCTAATAATTCCAGCCTTTTCCACAAGTTCCCCCAAGGTGACTCTTCCTTTGGGATCCCATCAGTTCTCAGATACCTCTTTGACTGGTTTCCTGTAAAAAAAAGTCTGTCTCACTAGGTGGCATGGCTTCTGTCTTCCCTGACTGGCCCTGACTGATGGGGCACAGTGTTAGGAGCAGTTGCAGGAACAGACACTTTTTATGATAAGCCATGATTATAAGTGGGCAGTAGGAAAGCTCTGCATCAGGTTATGACTAGGCGGGTTAGGATAATATCTCGATGGAGCCATGCAGCTGTTACGCTGGACTGCAATGCCATGATGAGGCCACAGGTCTAAGAGGTGCACAGGTGCTTCTGGGTGTGCTGGAGCACTCACCAGAGGAGACGGTGCCATGGTGTCACTCAGCTTAGGTCATGGCCAGAGGACCAGCTGCTTCCTTGGCCATTCCAAGCAATTCACTTGTGAATTGGAGACATTCTAGGCATATGCTGGTGAAGGTGAGGTCCTTGGGGGAGCTGCTACAGCAAATGACTTTCCAGAGAGTGGGCCGGTAGAGGCTGAGGCCCCTAGAGTATACTGGCAATAGACACCCTCGTGACTTTGCAGCTCCTGTTCACCCTTCTCTTCCACATTTGTAGTTGGTGTTCCCGGGCGTGTGGCGGTCAGTGCCTTGGCAGTGGGAGAACCGGGAGCCGCCTCTAAACCAGCCTCTCCCCTCGGGGGGCCAACCCAGGTAAGCATCTGAACTTGAAGACTCCGTCACAATTAGACGTGTTATTTTCCAGAAGGTGCTCATTGTGATTGATTATGGTACTTAGAGGCACCTGTACATCCTTGTCAAGTTATGTGACTTCAGAAACACATGTTTTTCCTAATAAATGAAATGGAATTGGGGCTTTATGACTGCAAAAATCTTCATTTATGTTTTTTGCATTCTTCTATAAGTCTTCCTAGGCACTAGGGATGCCCCCTGTGTGCTGAGAAGCACTTCTCATACAGGCAGGGTGGGAATGCTTTCTCCTCTGCCTCATCCTGTAGTATGGGACTGGATGTTGACGTATGCTCCACAGTGAGAGAGCCCAGAAAGTCTGGTGAAGACGGGAACTTGCACAGTGTTTCTCAAGTAACCTTTCTCATCCCTGCTTTTGATAAAGGAGGAAAAGGCCAGACTCTTGAAAGAGCGGCTGGATCAGATCTATTTTGTCAACGAGCGGCGCTGTTCCCGAGCTCCAGTCTACGGCAGAGATCTCTTAGGGGTTTGTTTGCTGACTGGCAGAGGAAGGCTGCCTTGGCGGGGTTCTGTGGATTGCAGACTCGGGAAGGAGGCTGGGCCAGCGAGCCATTGCTTGTCACCCTCGAGGAATCAGAATGAGTTGATGTGGACGCTGAGCCAGTGTCAGGAGTCACTCCAGGACGTCGTTGACAGGTGTGCTAGCCCGTGTGTGGGTGTTCACACTAGCCTTCTGTGCTCCCTTGCTGTGTTGACCCAATAGTTTTCATCATCATTTTATGGATGTTCATCTTATTCTCAGAGGCTTCCCCAATGCTATCACTAGAAGTCTCGTTTGAAGTCTCCTTTGGTGGTCTTCAGCTTCGGGGTCAGATTGTCTTGTTGTTGGGGTCTGTCTGTCAGATGGGGACAGAGCCACAGTGCGGAGCCCACGCTGTGTGTGGGTGACAGAACATTGTGTTCTGGCTGTTTTCTCCATCCTGCTCTTTCAAAGCAACATTTTATCACAACAACCATGAGTGATTGAATGTTGCACAAAAAGAAATACCTGCCAGAGTTGAGCCCAGCATAATCTTTGATAGAGAAAATCCAGGTGCTGATGGGTGTCTCAGCTGTGACCAGCCCTGCTTTGGCTACACCCTTACCTCTCGTGAGGCAAGGCCTATTTACAGCTTCCTTCTTTACTTCGTCCTGGTCTTCAGGCTCAGCCTCAGAGCACTTGCTCTTCCTTCTTTGCCCTGGCTATGTCCTGTGCCTTGGCTCAGCTTTTAGAATCTGCCTCTTTCAGGTCTTTCAGGTCAGAAACAGAATTAATGGAGAAAAAGAAAATGGGGTGTGCCTCCCTGGGTTGAGCCAGCTTCTGTGGCTGCCCTGATCCGCACGTGGTGCAGCTGTGGCTTCCTATACCCCAGACTTGTCTTTCGTTCAGATGCGAATTTGTCCTTTTGTGTGCCCCACCCTTGAACATAACAGGTGACCCTTTCCTTTGAATACAGTTGGGAGCTAATCATAGCTGATGTCCCAGGAAGAACCCTTCTGGTGCAAGTGACCTGAGAAGCACTTCTCATATAGGCAGGGTGGGAATGCTGGGGGCTGGGCGTCAGGCTGGCCATGAGGTCTCTCTGTGTCACTGCCTGCTACCTGCCGGGTTCCTTTATCCTGAGTCTGGCCCCTGCTCTGGTGGCCCAGTGGCCACAGCAGTTCTAGGGTTCACGGCCAGGGTTAATGTACCTCTGTCACAAAATTCCCAGCTGAAGCACGACTTTTGAGTGGAATGGCCCATCTGTGAACCATTCTTGTGGCCTGGGGAATGTGCCACGTTGATTGCTTAGACCTAGACTGTCAGAATGAGTTGGTGTGGGGGGTGGCTCTTGTTGGCTAGAACTGGCTAGGATCTGCCCCCAGGGGGTTTCCTCAACCCACGGCTGCTGTAAAGGATGGTTTGTGCCAACAGCCATGTCCCCTTGGTGACTGGAGCTGGGCCCCCTGCTTCTCTGTGACTGGGGTCCTCAGAGGACTCTGCTTGTCCTTGGAGCCCCTCCTGCGTGGCTGAGGTGCTGCAGGTACCCCATGGTGACGGTGTATTTTGTGCTCCACAGGGTGGCCTGTGTAATTCCTCCGGTGGTTGCAGCTCCCCCATCCTTGTGGGTTGCGAGGCCGCCCTCCCTGTACAGCCACAGAATGAGGGTCTTCAGGCAGGGCCTGCGAGAGCACACTGCCCCCTACTTCCAGCAGCTGTGTCGATTGACTGCCCTGCGCCTGTTGCAGTTCCCTGAGCTGAGACTGGTACAGTTCGATTCAGGTATGGGACATGCTGGTGGCAGGGCTTACCGTGGAGCAGCACATGCTCTGGTGATGCCGTGCTCTTGATGTCGTTCGTTTCCTAGGAAAGTTAGAGGCTCTGGCCATCTTGCTTCAGAAGCTGAAGTCTGAAGGACGCCGGGTGTTGATCTTATCCCAGATGGTTCTCATGTTGGACATTCTGGAAATGTTCTTAAACTTCCATTACCTCACCTATGTCAGAATCGATGAGAACGCCAGCCGGGAGCAGCGGCAGGTGAGAAGTCTGAAGCGCATCGTGAATCGTTCACCTTGTGCTCACTGATGTCACCAGTTGTCACCCAGCGTCTTAAGTGCTGTGTGAATTCAGTGGTCTCATGATCCTTCTAAATGAAGGGGATGAACTTAATGAGTCTGAGTTTTCACAAGTCCTGGTCCATTCTTTGGTACTTTTTATGATAAATCATGCTCTTCGGTAAGCATACAGTCAGCTGGATGTCTAGAACAACTCTTGGTGACCTCAGCCTTTATAAGACAGTGTTGATATATTTTAGAGGGCAGCAGCAGAGTAAAAATGTGGAAACTATTCATACTAGTTTATAATCGAAGCAATGTAAGTCAAAAGAATATGCCCAGTTTTTACTTACCCAGTTTTCCAAGGGTATCTTGGTTCTGTCAGCCACGGTGAGTCAGACACTAATAGGCTGCCAGTGGGAGCATTTCTAGAATCCAATCCTCACGGTGCAATTGGAACCCTTAAATGAATGTTCTTGGCCTAGTAGTTCTGTGTTCAGGACTCTGCTTACTCTGCAGTGACACACCACTTGAGGGTCTATAGATGGCTGATCCTTAGAGAACTGTTGTGATAATCCACAGTCTGGAACAAAGTCAGTGTTCAGTAGCAGAAGAATGAGTAGAAGAACTGTTGATGGCTATGTGCCTCTGCAGAACTGTAAACAGATGCTGCTTCCTGGCCTTCCGTATGGTGAACCAAGACATCCTTGTCAGCAACGCTTCAGAACCAGTTGGAGTGGCGTGGTAAAGGGTTCCTCAGTACAGAAAACAGGGTGCTGTCCCGGGACCACACGTCTCACTTCATGTCCCACAGCTCATGCAGGGTTTTCACACACATCTGTGCACGCACACATACACACACACACACACACACACACACACACACTCTCACACACACTCACACAGAAAGGGCTGGAGAGAAAGGTTCCGAAGTGTTAGTTAACAAGTTTTCTGGCCAGGCTCGGTGGCTCAGTCTGTAATCCCAGCACTTTGGGAGGCCGAGGCGAGTGGATTGCCTGAGCCCACAGGTTCAAGACGAGCGCAGGCAACTTGGTGAGACCTCATCTCTACAATAAATAAAAAATTAGCTGGGCGTGGTAGTGCGTGCCTGTAGTTCTGGCTACTTGGAAGGCTGAGGTGGAAGGATCGCCAGAGCTCAGCAGGTCGAGGTGACCGGGAGCATGCCACTGCACTCCAGTCTGGGCGACAAAGTGAGACTCCAACTCAAAAAAAAAAGTTTTCTTGGTAATAGCGTAATAAATTATATATAGAATTTTTTGAAAGGAGAGGGTTAGTTAGCTCTCTTAGTTTCTGTTTTGACAGGGGAATAACTGTAGAAGAGAAATATTCAGATCAAGTCCTTTCAGCCTACAATCCTTGTGACAGTCATGGTGTTGTCTTCCCTGCTTCCTCAGCCTTACTCCAGGGGCTTTTTTGCCTGTAAAGTGCCCTGGCATTGCCTGAGGATAGACAAGAAAGCACAGATCCCTCCCCAGTGAGACTCTGTTTTCTTTTGGGGCCTACACATTGAGCTGACAGTAAATGTAAGGGGATCTGGCTTTCCCTGCTTTTAGCTAAGACGGGCATTATTTAAACAACATGCCAAGATGTTGGTGCAAGTGAGGGAAGGAGGGTGCAGATGCCCCAAGGAGCAGAATGAAAGGACAGAGCCCAGCCATGACTTTACTGCACCCATGGGCCCAGTGGAACCCAGATCCGGTAGTGCCATCATGGAATAATTTCTAATTGATAGATTTTGGGACATGCCAGAGGTTTTCCGGCATTTCTTGGGAAGGCTGACTCAAGTGGTTTCTTCTTAGGAACTGATGAGGAGTTTCAACAGAGACAGGCGGATTTTTTGTGCCATCCTCTCCACTCACAGCCGTGCCATGGGCATTAACCTCGTGGAGGCGGACACCGTCGTGTTTTATGACAACGACCTGAACCCGGTGATGGATGCCAAGGCTCAGGAGTGGTGTGACAGGATTGGGAGGTGCAAGGACATCCATATATACAGGTGAGGGCTCTGCTGGGGACAGCATGGTCACGTGTTTCTGAGGAGGAGTTTTGTGGTAAGTATAGGATGTGGAAATAAAAGGTGGAAGCACATGCTGCAGACCAGTTTCGAAACTTCTGCTGCAATTTGCTTTTCTAGAATCCATTCCTCAATGGTGCGGATTGGAGCCTTCAATGAATGTGCTTGACCTTGTAGTTCTGTGTTCAGCCACATGCATACTTCTGCTGTCATGTCTGTTCCATCTTGTGCTTAACGTAATCGCACAGTAGCTTGGATTTACCCATGGAGCTGCTCAGGCAGGTCGCCTGCTGTCTTCCTGGTGTTGCCATGGTGCACCTTTTCTGAGTACCCTTTTTTTTTAGTTGGAATCTCACTCCATCGCCCAGGCTGGAGTGCAGAGGCACACTCTCCACCACCCCAGTGCCGACCTGCTGGACTCTGGCAATCCTTCTGCCTCAGACTTCCAAGTGACTGGAACTACAGGTGTGCACTACCACACCTGGCTCATTTTTTATTTATTGTAGAGATGAGGTTTTGTCAAGTTGCCCAGGCTGGTTTCAAACCCACGGACTCAAACAGTTCACTCGCCTCGGCCTCCCAAAGTGCTGGGATTACAGTCTGAGCCACTGAGCCTGGCCTGAGGACCCATATCTTAAAGGGACAGCTTATATTTTGGGTTGTTTTCACTGTTATGAAGTATAAAATATCTGTTAGTGAAATGGCTTTTGAAAGAATTTAAGTCTGTTATTATTACCTTTAAGCATTTTAACCATGAAAATTATAATTGTCAATATATAATTGGTGAAAATGAGGAAGGTCTATTGTATCTTTCTTTCTTTTTTTGAGTTGGGGGAGTCTCTATGGCCAAGGCTGGAGTGCAGTGGCACAGTCATGGCTCATCATAGCCTGGACCTCCTGGGGTCAGGCAAACCTTTCACCTTAGCCTCCAAAGTAGCTAGGACTGCAGGTACATGCCACCATGCCCAGCTAATTAAAAAATTTTTTTGTAGAGAAGAGGTTATGTTATGTTGCCCAAGCTGGTCTTGAATTTCTGTTCTCAAGCAATCCTTTTGCTTCTGTCTCCCAGAGTGTTGGGATTACAGGTGTGAGCCACTGCTCCCAGCCTACTATACATTTCTAAATTTTTAAAGATATTTAATGCTAGGGTGTAATAATAGGATATTTACCTTGTTTCTTGTGTATTTTGTGCTTGACTGTGTGGTAGGCACAGGCTGTGCTTCCTGTCCTGTGTTGTGTCAGTTCCCAGGTACCGGGATCTGAGGCCGATGTGGCCATGGGGTAAGGTCTCAGGGGGTGAGACCCTGGACTTGAAACCCCAGTCCATGCTCTTAACCACTTGATGTTATAGTAATCCTCATGCTGTAATTTAGTAGCTTTATTATTATTTTCCTTACTGGAAATGCATTATGTGTTCGTTGAGGAAAAAAGGTAAGCATGTAAAGAAAAATAAGCATTCTGCAGAGACAGCAACTATTTGCATTCTGATGTATATCTTGCCAGACATTTTTCTAATTCTTTTGGAGTGCTTGCATGATCAGTCTTACTTTGTAACCTTTTTTTCTAGCAACACATTATGAGTGTATTACCATGGTGATGGATATACATTTGGTACATAGTTTATTTTGAATGAATAAGGTTTCGTTGTGTGGTCCCCTCCTTATTGTTTGTACTTTAGCAATTACTTGCTAGAAATTGGAAAAATATTGTTTTCTCAGTAGCCACAAAATATCTAAAATACTCAACAACGATCTTGGCAGTGAGGGAAGGATGCCTCTGAAGTGAGGGGTAAGGTTATATGGAGGGTTGTATGGTAAGGTGAGTAGTGGGAAGATCTGCTATGTTGGTGGGGAGACTTAGTTCATAAAAAGGTGACATTTCCCCAAAGTCATATCATTGTAGGGAAAACCCTCCTGGGGGCGAGTGTGTATGAGCATACAAGTTAGGTGAGACCTCATCTCTACAATAAATCAAAAAAATCAGCCGGGCGTGGTAGCATACGCCTGTAATTCCGGCTACTTGGAAAGCTGAGGCGGAAGGATCGCCGGAGCCCAGCAGGTCGAGGCTGCGGTGGCCAGGAGCAGCCACTGCACTCCAGTCTGGGCGACAGAGTAAGACTCCAACCCAAACTTGTGGGTATGAGCACACAAGTTAGGAGCCTGGAGTGGGCGGCTCCGACGGAGGTATGGTGGTGAAGGCCCGGTAGGAAGTATGTGCCCCGTGCACCTGAACCACCTCAGGGACAGAGAGTCTGGCATGGGGTGCTTACGTGCCACAAGGGCGGCCTCCTGCTGTCATCGGAGGACGCCTAGACTGTGGACATGCTGCTCGCACCTTGCTCCCCAAGAGCAAGAGGCCAGGGCTGCAGTGCTGTGCATATGCATGAGCATGGTCCCGGTAGACTGAGGACTTGACTGTGAGAAGTGGAGCAGCAGTCTCAGAGCAGGCTGGCAGAGGCAGAGCCTAGAGTCTACATACTCACACAGATCCAGAGGGCAGGAGGCAGACTCAGAGGTCGTGGAGCAGGGATCTAGGAATCGCAGAGACACCACGGGCCAAGTGGGCAGATGAGTGATGGGGGACCCTTTGGGGCTCCTGTGGCAAGCAAAGGGTTAAGTGGCTCCTGAAAACCTAGTAGGAAGATACAGAATCCCCTGATTTTAAAAAGGGAGAGCAGAAGCCGGGCTCGGTGGCTCAGCCTATAATCCCGTACCTTTGGGAGATTGAGGTGAATGAATTGCCTGAGCCCGTGGGTTCGAGACCCGCCTGGGCAACTTGGTGAGACCTCATCTCTACAATAAATCAAAAAAATCAGCCGGGCGTGGTAGCATACTCCTTAATTCCGGCTACTTGGAAGGCTGAGGCGGAAGGATCGCCGGAGCCCAGCAGGTCGAGTCTGGGCAACAGAGTAAGACTCCGACTCAAAAAAAAAAAAAAAAAGGGAGAGCAGGAACCTGTGCATGTGCCCAGTCCATTTCAAGGGGCCAAAAAGCACAAGAAACTTCTTCAGCTCCCAGGAAGGGAGTGCAAATCTGGCGTGCGAAGAACCCCCTCTTCATAAGCTCCAAACAGGCGGGGACCAATGTGCCAGCTCGCCTGACTGGAGACAGGAGCTTCCACGTGCCAGTGCTGGGAGGTGTGCTAACCTTTTGAAAGCGGCCTGGCAAGGTATGTTGATAATGAAACGACACGTGTCTCTTGCTGCCAGGAACTCTGTCCTGCGATCTGAGGGTGTCCCTCGCAGCTTTGCCGTGTGCCACAAAGCAGGAGCCGGGGGCGCCCATCGCTGGGGCAGAGCCATCCCACGGTGATGAGCAGCCAGTCAGAAAGGGGTTCGTCTGAAGGCGTTTCTGTCTCACGCTCTGTGCGGAGTGCAGGCGCCAGAAGCGCGTAGCGTGGCAGGTGCTGCCCGCACCCTGATGCTTAGTGCGTGGCCATGTGCCTGGGAGAAAGACGGGGAGGTCAGCAGCCCTTCCCTGACCCAACAGTGAAAGCACGACTGCTCAAAGAAAGTGCCCACCAAGGTGTGCGCTGTCACCCTAGGTGAAGTGGCGTCTTTTTTACTGCACATATACAAACTAAGGTGGGTGAAAATGCTACCGCCACATTTTAGCGGTATCTCAGGGTGGGGTGATTGGAATTCAGGTGGGGTTTTTGTAAATTTTTCCCTTATGCTTTTATATAATCCAGTTATCTACTATGAGCGTGTGTTGATATAATCACGAAAGAGTAGATTTTCATTTGAGGGCCATGAAAGTGTCCCAGGTGCTCCTGTGCTGTTGATTAAGCATTTGTTCTCCTTATCTCTGTGGAAATCTTCCTGTTGAAGTTGTTTTGTTTGTGTTTCTTGAGTGTCAGCATTTTATATGCAGATGAGCCTTGTGAAGACGTGGCCAGCACATGGGGCCTGTTCTGCCACCCTGGTCACACCATCTCAGGAAAGATGTGTGCCTTGGTGCCATGGCCCCATTGTCCATCAAGTGGGGTCGTGTCCACACCTCACAAGTGTTAACTGAGTATCCGCTGTGGGCCTGACAGCATGCAGGGGTTAGAAAGATGGAAGTGGCCGGTCACATGGGAGTGAGAAGTCTCGTGTGTTTAACAAGCAGGTCCGTGAACTGACTGACCCGCCTGCCAGGCTTGAAACGCTCAGAGAAAGCTGCCTCTCAAGATGCAGCTGGAGAAACAGGGGGCATTCTCAGGCTGAGACTGGCGGGAGAAAGCCAGAGTGGCAGGCAGGAGGATGGGGCGAGATGGCCCAGAGGCTTTTAGGGGCTGCCTGTCCTGCTGCCCAGAAAGCTGAGTTTGGAGGGGCATTGACTGATGGTGGCCTTTGGCAGCCTGTGGAGGCACCAGCCGAACAGGTGCTGACCAGAGAAAAAAGGGGCGCCGTCTCTGCAGTCACCATCTGCATTGTCATTGTGTTTCCAGGTGACTGACTGGCTTTCTTGTGTCTATGCTTGTATCTTGGTTGCAGGCTTGTGAGTGGCAATTCCATCGAAGAGAAATTGTTGAAAAATGGAACTAAAGATTTGATTCGAGAAGTAGCTGCTCAGGGAAATGACTATTCCATGGCGTTCCTGACTCAGGTATTCCTGTGCTGACTTTTTGCACATGCAGAACAGAATCACGTGGCTCACCGTGCGGTCATGAGCAATAACTGCCTGGGGTTTTTCCCTGGCACGTAGGTCAGGCAGGAAATTGTGTCCTTTTTCCTGGAGAATAACATGCATTTTCCTGTGCAGCGAACTATCCAGGAGCTGTTTGAGGTCTACTCTCCTGTGGACGATGCTGGCTTCCCAGTCAAAGCGGAGGAGTTCGTGGTGCTCTCTCAGGAGCCTTCCGTCACGGAAACCATCGCTCCCAAGATTGCAAGACCTTTTATAGAGGTGAGGGTGGACCTGGGCAGCCTGCGAGCCATGTGCTTGGGGCCTTAGGATAGCCATGCCCCTCTCCAGGCCTGCAGGCTTGGTCCAGCTCCCTTTTCCCTGGCCTGTTAGCCCCCTGCCTTCCTGCCTCCTTTCTTCCTTCCTTCCTTCCATCGGTCCGTTTGTCCGTCGTTGAATTTCCACTGTGAGTAAAGGTGGAGGGAATAGTGGCAAAGATGATGTGGCCTCGTGCCTTTGTCACCCCGTTTCAGCAGTTGTCACCATTGCATGAGCTCTTCTGAGCCTCACTTAATCTCTCTGTCAGCCTGAGCACCCTCACCTGCCCTGGGGGGCATCTGTCTGTGCTGCTCCCTATGGCCCCCCAGTTGACTGTCTCAGCTTCACCTTGGAATAGATCAGTCACTGGCCCATGTGGCCACTGAACCTAGAAATGTGGTTGACCTGCACTGGGGGCACTGATAGGTAGACGTAGCCCATTTTGAAGACTCAGTAGAGAAGAGAACATACGCTATCTCATTATACTTCTTTTTCTTTCTTTTTTTTTTTTTTGAGTTGAAGTCTCACTCCGTCATCCAGGCTGGAGTGCAGTGGCAAGCTCATGACCACCCTAGCATTGACCTTCTGGGCTCAGGTGATCCTTCCACCTCGGTCTTCCAAGTAGCTGGAACTACAGGTGTATGGTACCATGCCCAGCTAATATTTTGATTTATTGTAGATTCGAGGTCTCACCAAGTTGCCCAGGCTGTTCTTGAACCTGTAGGCTCAGGCAGTGCCCTCAACTTGGCCTCCCAAAGTGCTGGAATTACAGGCCTGAGCCATTGCGCCTGGCCTCATTGCTATTTCTTTATGTGGAAGTGATAATATTTTGCATATTGGGCTACATAAATATTGCACTCTTTTAATGTGGGCACCAGAAGTTTCTGGATTGCATGGGTGGGTCATGTGATATCCCTTTGGGGTGCTGCTGTGCAGACACATCACAGACTTCTGTTGGGGCTGCCGTCTTCCTTCTCTGTCCCCGTGGCTCCCTGCCAAGACCCATGCGCCCCTTGGGGCCCTCCATGCTGGATTTGCAGGTCTTGGCTGTATTCACTTTCTGCATTCCTTCTCTCTCATTTTTCCCAGCACCAGGGAAGGGACTTTCTTTTCTCCAGATCTTGCCTCAGTTCCACGATTCTGTGCCTGTTACCTTGGAGGGACCAGGTGTCCCTGTGGCTCTGTTTGACCACAGTGTTTGACTGCGTTGACGTCTCTCCTGCTTTTCGTTGCTGGGAAAGCATCTAAGGCTAGACCACGTGTGACATGCAGCCCCTTAGCTTGTGCCCAACACTCAAGCCTGAGCTGCAGCCCGTGGTGGTCGCCACCTCCTTGCCTGAGCTCAGCTGTTCTTTCCTACCACAGTGCAGACTCGCCGTCCTGCTTCCATTTCTAGAGATTGATTATTCAGTTATGGAACAAAAAACAAACACATGAGGTATAACAGTCTTAGTCTGTTTGTGCCACTGTAGAAGAATGCCTGAGACTGGGTTATTTATCAGGAAAAAAGGTTTATTTGGCTCACAGCTTTGATGACTGAGAAGTTCAGGCTTGACCATCTGGTAAGGGCCTCAGGCTACTGCCACCCAGGGCGGAAGGGAAGGGAGCCCATGTGTGGAGGTCACATGGCGAGAGAGGAAGCGAGTGAGGAGGGGTGGTGCCAGTCTCTGTTTAACCTCAACTCTCAGGGGAACTGACAGATGAAGGACTCACCCCCTGCCTGTTCCTGAGGGATCTGCCCCCATGACCCAGTTTGGGATCACATTTCAACATGGTGCTTGGAGGGGACACCATCCAGACCTTAGCAGCAGCCCTGGAGACTTTCTAGTGAAAAGCCAATCTCTTGCACCAGAGCCTCACTTCCCTCATAGAGACAGCCACTACTAGCACTTTCTCACATTTCCTTCCAAAGGTTTTCTGTGTATAATTTGCCTTGCACAGAAACATCTTCCAGATTGTTCTAGATTAGGAAGTGTAGATCAACCTCATGTGTTAAAAAAAAAAGGGGGGGTTATTTGGGAGACCGAGGCAGGAGGATTGCTCAGGGCCAGGAGTTCAAGACCAGCCTGGACAATATAGCAAGGCTCCATCTCTAAAAAGAAGAAAATAAAAATTAGCCTGGTGTGGTGGCATGTACTTGTAGTCCCAGCTACTCTGGAGGCTGAGATGAGCCCAGGAGTTGAAGGCTGCAGTAAGCTCTAATTGCACCACTGCTCTCCAGCCCGGATAACAGAGTGAGACTCTGTCTCTAAAAAGAAAATAAAACATCAAATAAAAGGAATGTATGCATAAGGCTGAAAAGGAAATTTAAACAACACAGAAGGGTAGTAGGGAAAAGCAGCTTCTCTCCCAGAGTTAACCATGTGATCACTGCTTAAAAGCTCACACGCGTGCTTGAAGAGCAGTGTAGGCCTGTGTGCATACCAGCATATGATGTGAGCATATCATATGCTCTTGGTGTTTTCCTTAACAGTGATTTTATTCCATATTGGTTTTGTTGTTTCGAGGCAGTGTGGTATTTGCACATATAGGTTCTTTTGACACATCCTTATTCAGTGTCTAGGCAGTGAGCATGTAGCATCAGAAGACAACAAAGATTTAACCTGTAATACTGCTTATATTTTAGCAAGGAAAGCAGCAAAAACAAGTGAGTAAAACATGTAATTCACTCAAGTGAAAAGGGGTAATGTGTGGAGGTCACAACAGCAGGTGTCCACGTGGCTGAGAAGTGGGCAGGACATGGCCAGGTGATGTCTGGCCATGTGGGAGCCCTAGAAAGGTTTGCGTTCAGCTGTGGGCTGGTCTGGTGTGGTTGAAGCCCATCCTTCTGCCTCCTGTGTTGAGATGAGAACATGGTAGGGCCAGGGCAGCCTGGGAACCATTTAGGAGACCCAGAGCAGTGAGCCTGGTGGGCAGGTGGGGCAGCAGTGGGGTTTTCGGAAGGCAGAGGGGAGGAGGGCGGGTCCCCACTGCTTGACCAGTCCCCAGATGGAAAGTTTGGGTAGTGTTGGTCTCGCCAGTGTGATCACCTCTGCGGTTAGCACTCTGCCTGGTGGCCGGCAATTCTTCTACCGGTGACAGTGCTCCTCAGTGGGTTTGTGCTTGAGTGCGGTTTTATGACGCATTGTTGCTGATCTATGAAAGTATACAGAAAAGTTGCCGCACCATGAAGATTCAGCTGGGCAAGTTTTCACAGAATGAGGGCATGTAGTACCCAGATCTGGTCAAGGAGGAAGGCGTGGCCAGCACGTCAAAGACCCCTCCCCCCAGCCATGTCTTCCCTGCCGTGGCGGCTCTTGTGACAGACTGTGTGATTGAAACTGTGTCGCCTGACTTTGAATTTTATGTAAATGGGTCCTTTTATTTTGAGTCTGTCTTCTTCTCATTGCTCAGCGTGTTCTGTTGTGTGACTGTCACACTTCACCAGATGCCCTGTGCATGGGTGTTGTGGAATGTCACTTTGAATCGTGCTGCTGTGACTATTTTTATATGTCTATTTTGGTAAACCCGCGTATGCATCTCCATCGAATATATGCCTTGGGTGGAGCTCCTGGCCATCGGGCTTCATGCACTCGCCTTCCATAGAGGCTGGTCTGGTTTTCCACAGGAGGCTGCAGGTAGCTCTCCAGCTGGCCATGGGCACGCCAGATCACCAGGTGCTGCCGCCACCATGTGGAATTGCCAGCCCTTTCACATTAGTCATTCAGGAAGATGCCCAGGAGTCTCTTGCTGTAGTTTTAGTTTGCATTTTGCTGTTGGCTGTTGAATTTGAGCACCTCTTAGTATGTCTACTAGCAGTTTGGATACTTTTCAAAGGAGTGCCTGTCCAGCTGGGCTGTCTTTTTTTTTTTTTCTTGATTTGGAGTCTCACTCTGTCATCCAGGCTGGAGTGCAGTGGCCCACTGACGGCCACCCCAGCGTTGACCTGCTGGACTCAGGCGGTTCTTCCGCCTCAGCCTTCCAAGTAGCTGGAACTACAGACGTGCATTCCTACGCCTGGCTAATTTTTTGATTTATTGTAGAGATGAAGTCTTGCTAAGTTTACCAGGCTGTTCTTGAACCCTTGGGCTCAGGCATTCCCCTCATCTCAGCCTCCCAAAGTGCTGGGATTACAGGCTTGAGCCACCATGTCTGGCTATCTCTTTTTCTTACTGGCTTATTGGAGTCTTTATATGTTCTAGATACTGGGCCTTTGTGTGACACACATTATCTGTCTTTCCCAGTCTGTGGTTTGCCTTTTTTAATGCTATCTTTTTTTTTTTTTTTTGAGTTGGAGTCTCCCTCTGTCACCCAGACTAGAGTGCGGTGGCCGCTCTCAGCCACCGCAGCCTCTACCTGCTGGGCTCCGGTGATCCTTCCACCTCAGCCTTCCAAGTAGCCGGAATTACAGGCACACACTACCATGCCTGGCTGATTTTTGATTTCTTGTAGAGTTGAGGTCTCGCCAAGTTGCCCAGGCGGGTCTCGAACCCGCGGGCTCAGTCAGTTCACTCACCTTGGCCTCCCAAAGGCGCAGGATTACAGGCTGAGCCACCGAGCCCGGCTAATGCTATCTTTTGATGAGCAGAGAGATGCCTCATCTGAATACCATCCAGGGACCTCGTCTTCTGTCAGAGCTCTTGTGTTCTGCTAAGAATCTCTGCCCTCCCTAATGTTTCCATCCTTTGTTTTCTTCTATGTGTTTCATTGTTTTATTTTTGCTAATTAGGTGCACGATCTGTTTGAAAATAAGTTCTTTGTGTAGTGTGAGGTAGGGTTCTATTTTAAACTTTGCAGATTTTGCTAGGTTGCCCAGGAAATGGTCTGTACCAGTTTTTAATTTGTATCTTCTAACTAAAAACTGCATCCCTATCTTCGGTGCAAGGTCCTTGGCCCACCTCTACCAGTACTTACCAAGTATGTGTTCCTAGCTGTGTTGACAGGTGAACCAGTGGTGTCTCCATGCATTAACTTGCATTTCTTGAGCCATGGTCATGCTGACACATGTGCTGCCAGCTATGTTACGTTTCTGTGAGGTCTTGCTCTGGCTGCTGTGGCGCTGGCTATTCACCTTCTGTCTGTGCCATGGATAGTAGCCACCGCCCTGTTCTCTGTTCTCTGGGATCAGGGTTCATAGTGGTATGCGTCAGACTGAGACGGAGCCTGTGTACTCCTCTGGCGCTGGCAGCCTCAACCCCACCTTGCAAGTTGGCGTGCTTTCCTGTGTTACTCGTCAGCTCTTCTGTGGGGTTTGCCTGGCCAATGTGACAGTGTTTTGGAAGGCCCAGGAGGTTTCTCACATTTCCTTTCTATATCTCCTGAGTGCCTTATCATTTTACACCTGTAAGAGGATTTCAGGGAAGAAATGCATTATCTCAATAGAAGCTCAGCAACTGTTTACGTCGGTGGCATCTGTGTTAGCTTTATACAGGGCAGTTCTGTTTCAAAATTCTTTACTGTAAAAAGCAGATAAACGTACTCTAAAGTGGAATGTCCTTAGGCCCTCAAGAGCATTGAGTATCTGGAGGAAGATGCACAAAAGTCCCTCGAGGAAGCAGTGACTGTATCACATCCTGACATGTCATCAGACGCAGACAGCACCAGGTGCCGTGACGCGCCATCCCAGTTGGAAGAGCTCGCCGACTTCATGGAACAGGTGCGGGGTATTTTCTTTTAATCGCTAAGTATTTTAAAAATTTGATCATTCTATAAAATATTTCTTATTTACTTTAACCAAGAACAATCACTTTTTTAATTTAAATGTGGGTGAGTAGGTTTTAAAAGTATCTTTGACTAACTTACTGTTAAACCTATTCAAAAAAATATGTTTTTGAAACAGCTTACACCAATTGAAAAATATGCTTTAAATTACCTGGAATTGTTTCATACTTCCATTGAGCAAGAAAAAGAGAGAAATAGTGAGGTAAGAGGATCAACTTTTGATCAGTTTAACTTGTGAAAAATCTCAATATTTTTAATGTCAAATATGATTTGAAGTAAATGTGACTTTATTAAATTAAAGGAACAAAGCCCCAAGCCCACCAGTATAGGACTTAAACGTAAAATAAACTTAAAATGGTCCAGATGCTCACGCCTGTAATCCCAGAATTTTGGAAGGCCAACAAGGGAGGATTGCTTGAGCCCAGGAGTTTGAGACCATTCTGGGCACCACTGCACAACCTCATTTCTACAAAAAAATCAAAACCTTAGCCAGGTGTGGTTGTTGCACATGCCTTTAGTCCTAGCTACTCAGGAAGCTGAGGCAGAAGGATTGCCTGAGCCTAGGAGGTTGAGGCTGCGGTGAGCCATGATCGTCCCATTGCACTCCAGCCTGGGTGACAGAGTAAGACTCTGACTCAAACAAAACAAAACTAAGTTAAAATGAAAAGAGTTTTGGAAAACCCTGTGTAGGCAATTGGGAAGCTTATCTTTACTTTGATGTCTTTTCATTTGATTTGTAGCAGCTTGGTATTAGATAGAAGGTCCTATGTTAAGAGTGTGGAGAGGTAGGGGCAGAAGCTATGTGGCAGCGAGACAGGAGAGAGACTCCCGTGCGACTAAGAGCCAGGAGAACAGGCTGGGGGCTGGGGGCACCGAGCAGGAGCTGCCTGTATCTGACCCTGGGAGGGGGCTCCTGATGTTCTTCCCGCCAGGATGCAGTGATGACTTCCATGAGGGAGTGGGAGTCCTGGAACCTGAGGACCCTGCAGGCCCGGGAGGCCCAGCTGCGGCTGGAGCAGGAAGAGGCGCGGCTCCTCACCTATACCCGCGAGGACGCCTACAGCATGGTAAGGCTGCCGACCTCACGCCCTCCTGCCTAGGAGCAGGTGTTCACTCAGGTTTGTTCAATCTGTGTATGTTTGTGTGAGAAAATGCCTGAGGAATCAGAACAGCTTAGTTCATGTACCAAAAGCATGATTTTCTTAATAGTTGCCTTGTTGTTGGAGATTTTCAGTTCAGTACTGAGTTTTCCTTGAGTCGTGCTGAGATTGTCATGTTGATGAGATGTACATGGAAGACTTCATAAGTACATGAAGGTTAATAACTTGTGGCTTACACATGGAGCTAAGACTATAAATTTTAACCATTGCCCATGTTCCCTGTAGGAATATGTCTGTGAAGATGCCGACGGACAAACAGACATCATGCCGGTGCGTAGTGTCCTTCTGTAGGGTCGAGTGGGCATGCGTCTGTTGGCTCTGCATCTCACAGCACTTTTCTTCTCTCTGCAGCTCTGGACCCCGCCCACACCCCCTCAGGATGACAATGATATCTACCTGGACTCGGTCATGTGTCTCATGTACGAAGCCACTCCCATCCCGGAGGCTAAGCTGCCACCCGTGTATGTGAGGAAAGAGCGGAAACGGCATAAGACGGACCCCTCAGGTGCACATCCCTGCTGGTGGGCATGACGGGGGTTGCTATACTTGTGCAGGGTCCCCAGATGCCATGGCTCTTCCTGCTGTCAAGTAGCCATATGCCCCTCCACGGCCTCTGGGCATGTGCACAGGTCTCTTGTCTCCTCCGAGGAAGCCTTTGCTTTTCCCGGCCTGTTGAGCAGTGGGTGTAGGACATGGCCTCGTCCTTAGCATGTGCTCTCCAAGCATGTGCTCTCTGGCCATGTGCTTCTGAATTTTCCTGCCTGGTTCCAATAGCCTGTGTCCCCTGGCATGGAGTCTCCTCATTCACTGTCCTGCTGAACGCGGCCTCTGTTCAGTTGCAGGCAGGAAGAAGAAGCAGCGTCATGGGGAGGCGGTTGTGCCCCCACGGTCTCTATTTGACCGAGCAACGCCAGGCATGCTGAAAATCCGCAGAGAGGGGAAGGAGCAGAAGAAGAACATTCTGCTGAAGCAGCAGACACAGTTTGCCAAGCCTTTGCCAACTTTCGCCAAACCAACAGCTGAGCCTGGTCAGGACAATCCCGAGTGGCTCATCAGTGAAGACTGGGCCCTGCTGCAGGTAGGCGGGTGTCACTGTCTTTCCCTCCCCCGCCTCCCCATGGTCAGATACATCCTGGTTACCATGACCACCTTGTGGGGAGTCCTTGGCAAGAGGGGCAGCCTCCTAGCTCAGAGCTTGTTTGCCTTCATCCTCCAGGCCGTGAAGCAGTTACTCGAGCTACCTTTGAACCTCACAGTCGTGTCACCTGCTCACACACCCAACTGGGATCTGGTCAGCGATGTCGTCAACTCCTGCAGCCGCGTCTACCGGTCTTCCAAGCAGTGCCGGCATCGCTATGAGAGTGTCATCATCCCACGGGAGGAAGGGAAGGTGAGCACCAGTTCCTTTGTCTCCTGGGAGAACACAGGTATGCACGACAGCCGCAGCCTGCAGTACTGGCGAGTCCTGCTCTTCACAGACTGGTCTTGCCCCTCCCCCAAGCCTGCGACAATGGGTCTCACTGACTGGGAGGACCTATCCTATGTCTGCCACCTGACACATGCAGCATCAGAGATGGCCATGTGTACTTGCTGGGATGGTGCTTGGTATTAGCAGCAGGCTGAGCGCCTGACATTTCATCTGACACCACCATCAGCACTGCCGTTGTCATCTGGAAGCTAGTGTGTCATAGAGTGTTGGGTCATATCTTTTTTTTTTAACGTAAAAGAAGATTTGGATGAGTGAAAGAGAACATTAGAACTTTCACTTTGTCTCATTCGTTAGCTTAAATAATTTGGTGCTGAGTTATGGGCTTGCAGTAGTGGCCTGACAAGCATGAACACTTGTCACTGATGTTTCAGGGTCAGCTCTGAGGGTTACAAGTGTTTGTTCACTTCTAGCACAGCCCTGTCATTGAAGAGGTCCGCTGTGTTTGGTGGCCTGACTCTGGAGAGTCTGTGCTACTCATCAGTGACGTGGCAGATGCTGTGCGGCTGGCTCTTCCATCACCTGTGTCATCTCTGTTTCTGTACCTGACTTTCTCCATGCAGCCCTGCCTTGCTGCTGGGCTGCTGCCTCTCCTCAGAACCATGCCCAAAGCATCCACAACAGGAGTGTCCACATATCCTGTCCTGCCAGCATTGCATGTGCTCTATACCCCTTGGAGTCAGGCCTTGCATCCGGGGCAGGTGCTGTGTCTGGTGTGCAGGGACAGGCGCTGTGGTCACATCCTCCTGCCTGGGACAGGCAGGGCTGATACAGTGGAGGCAGACATCCAGTGCTTTCCTTCAATTTGCTATTTTGTTTGTAATTTGTGAAAGTCACGTCCTCTACATATGGGTTAGGTCTGTGGCAGGATGAGAGTGCCACACTTGATTTGTTTCTGTAACCATTCTTTTAGTCATCTCAGTTTTTGTTTTCTGAAAACATTTGTCTCAAAGCATTTGTTTGCTTTTTTGTTTAAAATGAGAAAGCAAACTTTTTTCATAATGCCATCTTGGGTGCCTTTACCAATAAGACCGTTAGATCTTTCATGTCTTGGAAGCATTTATAATAATAACCTTTACCTTAATACAGAGAAAAGTTCCAACTTCTTTTTCTTTCATAGCTGATTTATGAAGTTAATCCAAAGAAAAAAGCAAAAAATATTGATAAGGTATGAAGGTGACGCTCTGAATAAGTTGGAGCACTCTGAGAGACTGTGCAGAGGAGCCGATGGCGAGATGCAGAGTTAACCTAGTATAGAAATCGCCAGAAACTTGGAACCTAGACACTCCTTGAGCGCCTCTCATTCCTGTGCTTGAAAGACTTGCTTCTGTGTACTCAAGGACCACACAGTGACTTGCCAAGCCCTGTAGGGGACATGCCGTGTCTCTGGGCTTCACAGCCTGACAAAGCCTGTGGTGGAGCATCCCCTCCTCTCTGAGCTCATGAGCTCTGCAGTGTCACATGCAGTGAGCATGCACAGTCAGAGCTTGCTCAGGAGCCCCTTACTGGATGCTCAGTCTTTCCTGCTGCTGGCTTTGGGTTGACTTGCTGCCCAGTGGTGTGTGGAGTACCTGGCCTTGGTCTTACGCTCCCTTCTCCTGCTGCCCTTTGCCCAATCTTACGATGCAGTGAAGGGGCTTCTGTATGTGGCACAGTGTTCAGAAAACAGACCCATGCAGCCTTGCACTTTGGTCTCCAGTTCTGACTGTCCTTGACAGTGGCCTGGGGATTTTGGGCATTCCTCTAGCAGGAGAAGACATAGACTTACACACAGTTGCGTATGTGTGTGTACCTGCATTCACATGGAAACATACGCGTGCATACTCACATGCACACAGATAGGTATGTGTGCCCCTGTCCAGCAACACCCACACCTGGGCTGTGCTGCTGGGCAGCATGGGAGTCTTGGTTTCCACCTGGGCACACTCACTCTGCAGTTCACAGGAAGGAATGTTTGGAGAAGCACAGAGGGACTAGCCCTGGGCGAGGAAGGAGAAGTTCTGAGTTCTAGTCATCACCAGGTACCTTTGGGACCCTGCCCAGATGGCCATTTGCTCTAAATCCTTGCAGGATGCCAGGGTATCTTGGGAGCAAGTAGGCGGCAGTTGAGAGGCCTTTGTTTTGGTGTGGGATTTGTGAAGGAAAGATGACCAGGTGCAAGTCGTGCTAAAGCTCCCTGGGAAGAGACTTTCCAGACTTCACTGAGCATGTGTCATTTGCATGGGCCCTCCCTGTCTACTGTGGGCAGAGAGATGTGGTGTTCATGGAGTTAGTGCTGCCCCTCAGTTTTGGTGGGAATCGGGAAGTGGGAAGATTCCCAGCCTGCTCCACGAAACCATCTGCCATGTGACCACAGGTACTTTGCACACCTGTTTTGTTTCCTCAACTGAAAGTGGGAGTTTCTCTTTGGGCAATTGTGAGGCTTACATGAGGCAATGTTTGGAAGGGGTTAGCACAGACTGGGGAATGTCACTAGCAGTCACAAATGTTGGCCACTTAATGTTGCCACTCTTATGTCTAGAAAAGAAGGGATCAGAAGAGGGAGTTTGCCCAGCTGTGGGGCATTAGCACTGGGCTTCCAGCTCGGTGAGCCCCATGTCCAGGGCAGCGTCTGTGCAATTTTGACACTTTCTCATCAATCTTATTTCAGAGTAAAAACAACCGTCCTCTCCGTACGAGCCAGATTTATGCCCAGGATGAGAACGCCACACACACTCAGCTGTACACAAACCACTTTGACTTAATGAAAATGACTGCGGGCAAGAGAAGCCCCCCCATCAAGCCTCTGTATGTTTCTCAAGTTCTTATTTTACATCAGTCACAACTGAGTAACTTGTGGGAAGTTTGGTTTCTGGGATGTGTTTTTAAGCTAGCCCCCTTCACTGTCTTTTCCATTGTTTAGTAATTGCTGTCTCATTTTTTGTACTACAGGCTTGGCATGAATCCTTTTCAGAAAAACCCCAAGCATGCCTCTGTGTTGGCAGAAAGGTATTTCTGTATTTATAATACATTTTTTACTGTTTCAAATTATTTCATTCAGTGTTCTCTAGAATTCACTACGTTTAGGTTGCATGTGGTGTGTTTGGGCATCACCTGGGCATGGGGCAGCTGTCCTTTAGCAGAGGAGGTTGGGAAGTTTGGAATCACCCAGATTTTATAAAACATAACTGTGGTTAAGTCTCGTGTTGATGGGGTGAGCGAGTCCACCAGCTCCTAGCTGCTGACTGGCCCCTGCTGCTGGCTCTGTGCCTGGTGTCACCAGGAGCAAGAGGGCTCAAACCTGGCCTCTTTGTGTCTGACGCGAGAGCTCAGCACAGGCAGGCCTCCCAGGAGTCACAAACGCAGCCTTTCTGGCACTGTAAAGACACATGGAGGCAGGTGGAGGTGCAGGGCCTGGGGATGTGCTCAGAGACATTTGCAGGAGAGGGGCATAGGGTCACCCAGAGAGGACTGCACCAAGCGAGGGCAGTGGTTCCTGGCAGCCGGGCTTCTGTGGGTGGAGGCTGCTGAGGCTGGGGCTCTCTGGCAGGCGTGAGGCTTGCCAAGGTGGTCATGAGTGCATCTGGCGCCTCCATGTGGGGTGTGCTGCTCGTCAAGCAGAAAAGGTGTGTTGAGGACATGCCCAGAATGTCTGGGGGCTTCCTCCAGGGCCTCTAGGTGGCTCATATGCATGTGTTCAGAGTGTCTGTGGAGCTCATTGTGCCACGAGGGAGAGCTTGTCAGCACATCCGGGAATGCACTAGTGGAGGGAACCGAGAGTCTTGGCAGCAGGGTTATGGGGATGAAACTTGGCTGGAATTAGGCAAGGCTGCATGGAGGACATGGCTCCTGGGAGTGTAGGTTGGGGCCTCAGCTGGGCAGCTTGTTTGGGGTTGCATTTTCCTTTTGTGTGCTGGGTTGAGGTTGGAGAGATTCAGTTTGTTTAAATACTTGTGGGGCAGGATAAAGAGTTGGGAAGATGAGGCCAAGAGGAGGGTGGAGTGGAGCCAAGCTGGTCTAGGGGCCCCTCGGCAGGCCAGGAGCTCAGGGTGGGCACAGCTACACATGGCTCCTGGCAGGACTGCAGGCCAGGAGAGGCTCTGCAGAGGGCCCTGGCCAGCGGGACAGAGGGTGGGGTACTGCAGTGAACAGCTTTCTTGCCCACAAGCATCTTGGGTGCCTCATACTCCTGTGCCCTGTGTGGATGAGGCTGAGCAGAGCAGACTGGGTCTCCAGCAGTGCGCTTTCTCAGCAGGGTGAGGCAGAGGTGCACTTGGATATCTGCCGCAGCCTCCCTTCTTCTTTCCAAGGCCCTCCTCACCACGGAGAGCCCCCAAGGTTGTCCCTTGCCTCTTGGGTTGGACTGGAGCTCTCCCAGCACCTGGCAGCTTGGGCTTTCTCAGCATTCATCTCTTCCAGAACATGTCTATTCACTGTTGACCTTGGCCTTTGTCTTCCAGTGGAATCAACTATGACAAGCCACTGCCTCCCATCCAGGTTGCATCTCTCCGTGCAGAGCGAATTGCAAAAGAGAAAAAGGTCTGGTACCCTGAGCCCTTCTGCTTGCATAGGAAAGTGGGGCAGCTATGGCTCCATCTGGGGGGTGTGCGAACTGGGTCCCCCTGTAATGACTTCTCTCCCTTCCTGGCCCCTCAGGCTCTGGCGGACCAACAGAAGGCGCAGCAACCTGCTGTGGCGCAGCCACCACCTCCACAGCCCCAGCCTGCACCGCCCCCACAGCAGCCTCCGCCACCGCTGCCACAGCCACAGGCAGCAGGCAACCAGCCACCAGCAGGACCACCTGCCGTCCAGCCACCACCACCACCACCTCAGCCTCAGCCCCAGCCGCAGCCTGTGCAGGCCCCAGCAAAGGGGCAGCCGGCTATAACGACCGTGGGCAGCACTGCTGTGCTGGTGAGCAGGGACCTCCTCACAGCCTCCCCTCCATGAGCAGTGGCCCACTCTGCTTGTTCACATGCTTTTTGTTGAAGTGAAGACCTCCTCCTCGTCGCACACATTCCAGCCTGCAGACTGGCCTTGAGGAAGCAGAGAGACGAGGACTTGCCCTGGAGGAAGTGCATGTCTTCAGCCAGATCCTCTGCTTGTCTCCCACAGGCTTCTGTGTGCTTAGTGATTGTTTTGGATTTGGGAGGTTGAGGCAGCTCTTTTGAGTGGCACTGATTGGGAACGTTGATGTTACCGGGGTTTTGTAAAGCATAGCTGACAAATTCTTTTCCTTTACTGCCTACATATGTGTAGAGCAAAGAGTGTTTGTGCCGATATGCAGACGGGGGCCGAAATAAGCTGCCTTCTCCTGAAAACATGTACACATGTGCTCACCCACCTGTGTGAATCTAAATGCCTGCTGGAGAAAAGCTGTACAATGCTTTGGGGTAGAAAGGAGAGAAAGGCAGAGTCGTGATCATGCGCTCTGGCTGTCCACATCCTTGGCAGCGCATCCCTGTACTGTGCGTGGCTGTATGTATGTGGCCCAGACATCAAAGTCACATGTACAGAATCACACTTGAGAAAACAGGATCTGTGCTGAATTGGGAAGCACACACTTGGGGCTGTCAGCCAGGTGCGGAAATATTTTTGTTACACCGAGCCATTTCCTCCCATTTTAAAAAAAATTATATTGGCTCTTGTGGAGTTTTTATGTGTACTCGGGCAACTTTGTTCTTTATTCATTCAAAAGTTCCTGCTTGCTCGGAAACTGTCACCGTGAGCAAGATGGCACTGACCATTTGTGCTCCAGTGGGGAGTCAGTCAGTCAGAGAGATCGCGATCTGCACAGCAGGTCATTTTAAATGCTGGCAGGAAGGAGGCAAGGTAGGATGAGTGAATTGGTTAGGAAGAATCTTTCCGGGGAGTTGGCAGTTGCGCTAAGGCCTCGGTGACAAGGAGTCAGACATGAGAAGGATGCGAACAACACATGCAGAGGCTCTGGGCTTGCCTGACGTGAGGGCCAGAAAGGTCAGGGTGGCCAGAGTCAGGTGATCAGGAACAGAGGGTGTAAGGGGCCAAGGTGGAGGGGTGGAGCAGTGGAGCGGCCAAGATGTGGAGAGATGGAGCTGTGTGGAGCTGGGAGGACTGGCAGGAGTTGGGAGGCCAAGTGGGGGCTGGAGCTGGACCTGGTCGCTGTGTGAATGTGGGTCAAGTTTGGATTTGATTCTGAATGAAGAGGGAAGCCACTGAAAGTTTTTGCAGGAGAGCGTTTGACATAAAATTCAAATGAGTTTTCTTTTTCTTAAATAGGCAGGAACCATTAAAACATCAGTTACTGGGACAAGCATACCGACTGGTAAGACAAATACAGAAATGTTGAAGTGAGAATTCGGCTTTTCCTCATCCTCCTGCCTTACGCCGCCTGTTTCTGCAGGTACTGTGAGCGGAAATGTTATTGTGAACACCATAGCGGGCGTTCCGGCTGCCACTTTTCAGTCCATCAACAAGCGCCTCGCTTCACCAGTGGCCCCTGGGACCTTGACCGTGAGTTGTCTGCATCTGGGGCTGCACACGATGACATTGTGTTCTGGGGACAGCTACAGCGCATTTGCTTTTTTTTTCCTTAATATTCCGTCAGTGAAAAAAGTGCTGATCTAGTTTGAATTTCATACAGTGAATAGCTGATTAATAGGATGGTTTCACAAACATTCAGGCATTTGGGGGATGGTTTCCATTTTGTATTTTGAGAGATGAGCTTCACGTGTATGTGTTGAAATTGTTTCCCCCAGAGTGACCTTCAGAGAGGAGGTAGGTGGATCTGAGGGAGTGTCGCTGATTCTGCTGATGCAAGTGTCCCCATGTGCATGTCGCTATGCTTGTGTGGGGAAGCACAGAGATGACAGCCCTCCGGGGGTGTTACGCTGGAGAGGAGGCCTGCATCATACAAGGGTGTGACTTGGTTTCATACATGTTACTAGAGTGTGTGCAAAGAACAGTTGGAACTCAGGAGAGGCAGCAGTCGATTTCCGTAGACTCTCTAGACCCTAGATTCAGGATGCTGTGGCTCCAGGCCCAGCCAGGCACAGAGGACACGCCCAGGCCAATATGCAGAACCGGCAAGTACCCTGGCACGCTCTCAGGAGACATGCTCTGGTGTCAAAGCCTCGTACTTCTTTTTGATATTTCACCAACAAAACAACACTGAGAGTAAGGAGCTTAGATTATATCCCAGTTTTCTGTTTGATCACAGACCCAGAGGAATTCTTCTCTAAATGAGGAGAAACAGTACTTCAAAATCAGTACAGCTTTGGCAAGTAGATGGTGTCTCTCTCTTGAGTTTTGAAAAGTGTCTTTTCTGTGAAGATGATGTTGCTGTAGTAATCTAGATAGTGTGGAACTGGCAAAAGGATAGACACGTAGATAATGGAATTGGGGCGAGAGTCCAGAAATAGACACACACTCACACATTTTCAATTGACATCACTAACAGTGCCAGGGGAATTCAATGGAGAAAGGATAATCCTGTCAATAGATGATGCTTTAAGGTTTGGGCAACCACCTGCAAACAGTGAATCTTGATCCATAACTTGCACTGCATATAAAAAGTTTCTCTTAGCCAGGCATGGTAGCACACACCTGTAGTTCCAGCTACTTGGAAGGCTGAGGCAGAA